TGCGACGAGTGACTCGTCACGTAGCGTCATGGTGACTGCTTCAATTGATTGAGTTGATTGATTGCAAATCGAGTAGATGGTTGAAAAGTCGGCGCGTCTCGATCGCGTTTCCAGTCACGAGCGTGGAATAGAACTTCGAGCGAGGTTTGAATTCCACTGTAGTTTTGTCGACATGATGGACGGTTGATGGTCGTCGAAGAAGGTCGCGGAGGGTGGTAGTCCGGTTCCGTCGCTCATGAATCGGTGGTACCTGCTAGAAGACAACCATAAGTAGAATGGTGAAGGTCCATAAGTAGAACGGTGGAGGCGTGTGTATCTCTGGCTGGTGATCAATGTTGGTGACCGACGTCGATGACTGCGTTGTGTCCGTCGACATCAACGTCGACGTGGTGACCAAACCAGGTGGCTGCTGAGTTGTGTGTGGACGTCGTCTATGTTTGGTGGCTTGACAATGAATGCAAGGAGGGCCCTTGCGATGACAGTTTGTGCAAGTGGTACGAATACCAGTGCGTTTGTTTGAGATGGACATTGACACTTTTCGGCAATCGATGACATAGAAGGAGAAACTGGACGGAGCATGCTAACCGCGCTAAGAGAAAACGTGTCCGTCTGAACGAGTCGACATGTTCGTGTCGATGTGAACATGCAGATACAAAGACATTGGTCGTGACAAGATGATCTGATCTGAACGTGCTGCTGGAAGAACGTGCTGCTGGAAGAAGGTGTTGACCTTTGCGAGGTGGCTGGCTGACAACTGGCTGCAAAGCCTCGATAGTATATATATTGGCGAGCTCCAACTGCCCGACAGCACCGAAAGTACAGGTGGTCGATTCTTCCGTCGACAGGTTGACATGCTGAGCCAAGTGATGACGAAAAGTAGCGACAAACAGCCTCACAAACAAGAGCGAGTCCGGCGGTGCACGCAGATTTTTCTTCTTGCTCGGCTTCCGTGTCGTCTCGTTCGTGAGCCCGTCTGCATGCGCTGCAGCATGTCAGTCGGCGCGATGTCCAGCATGTGTGAGGTCTACCATCCCCATCCGCCACCGTAGCCTCCCCATCCACCGTAGCCACCCCATCTCCCGAAGCCACCCCAGGGACGTCCCCATCCCAAGCCTCCCCACCACTCCTTGGACACCTTGCCTTCCGCACCAATGACGGCAGTAGGCTCGTTTTCCGCAGCTACATCAGCAGCAGCCTCAACAGGATGCGAATGTCGCTCGGTAGGACCCGCTGCCATCGTGTCAGTGCTGGGTGTAGCTGGTTCCGATGCAGCAAGGGCTCGGAGCGCCGGCTGGTAGTCAGTAGCTGAGGCGACGCTTGCTACAGCAACTAGCGCGGTGACGGCGAGAGCAGTGCACTTCATGGTCGATTTGGTCGGTTGGTCGAGTACTTGCTCGCTAGGTGTTGGTGTGGTAGTGCCAGTTGGTTTGTGAGTGCGATCGATGTACGAGCTAGCGAGTGGGCTGGTGTTGCGACGAGTGACTCGTCACGTAGCGTCATGGTGACTGCTTCAATTGATTGAGTTGATTGATTGCAAATCGAGTAGATGGTTGAAAAGTCGGCGCGTCTCGATCGCGTTTCCAGTCACGAGCGTGGAATAGAACTTCGAGCGAGGTTTGAATTCCACTGTAGTTTTGTCGACATGATGGACGGTTGATGGTCGTCGAAGAAGGTCGCGGAGGGTGGTAGTCCGGTTCCGTCGCTCATGAATCGGTGGTACCTGCTAGAAGACAACCATAAGTAGAATGGTGAAGGTCCATAAGTAGAACGGTGGAGGCGTGTGTATCTCTGGCTGGTGATCAATGTTGGTGACCGACGTCGATGACTGCGTTGTGTCCGTCGACATCAACGTCGACGTGGTGACCAAACCAGGTGGCTGCTGAGTTGTGTGTGGACGTCGTCTATGTTTGGTGGCTTGACAATGAATGCAAGGAGGGCCCTTGCGATGACAGTTTGTGCAAGTGGTACGAATACCAGTGCGTTTGTTTGAGATGGACATTGACACTTTTCGGCAATCGATGACATAGAAGGAGAAACTGGACGGAGCATGCTAATCGCGCTAAGAGAAAACGTGTCCGTCTGAACGAGTCGACATGTTCGTGTCGATGTGAACATGCAGATACAAAGACATTGGTCGTGACAAGATGATCTGATCTGAACGTGCTGCTGGAAGAACGTGCTGCTGGAAGAAGGTGTTGACCTTTGCGAGGTGGCTGGCTGACAACTGGCTGCAAAGCCTCGACAGTATATATATTGGCGAGCTCCAACTGCCCGACAGCACCGAAAGTACAGGTGGTCGATTCTTCCGTCGACAGGTTGACATGCTGAGCCAAGTGATGACGAAAAGTAGCGACAAACAGCCTCACAAACAAGAGCGAGTCCGGCGGTGCACGCAGATTTTTCTTCTTGCTCGGCTTCCGTGTCGTCTCGTTCGTGAGCCCGTCTGCATGCGCTGCAGCATGTCAGTCGGCGCGATGTCCAGCATGTGTGAGGTCTACCATCCCCATCCGCCACCGTAGCCTCCCCATCCACCGTAGCCACCCCATCCTCCCGAAGCCACCCCAGGGACGTCCCCATCCCAAGCCTCCCCACCACTCCTTGGACTTCTTGCCTTCCGCACCGATGACGGCAGTAGGCTCGTTTTCCGCAGCTACATCAGCAGCAGCCTCAACAGGATGCGAATGTCGCTCGGTAGGACCCGCTGCCATCGTGTCAGTGCTGGGTGTAGCTGGTTCCGATGCAGCAAGGGCTCGGAGCGCCGGCTGGTAGTCAGTAGCTGAGGCGACGCTTGCTACAGCAACTAGCGCGGTGACGGCGAGAGCAGTGCACTTCATGGTCGATTTGGTCGGTTGGTCGAGTACTTGCTCGCTAGGTGCTGGTGTGGTAGTGCCAGTTGGTTTGTGAGTGCGATCGATGTACGAGCTAGCGAGTGGGCTGGTGTTGCGACGAGTGACTCGTCACGTAGCGTCATGGTGACTGCTTCAATTGATTGAGTTGATTGATTGCAAATCGAGTAGATGGTTGAAAAGTCGGCGCGTCTCGATCGCGTTTCCAGTCACGAGCGTGGAATAGAACTTCGAGCGAGGTTTGAATTCCACTGTAGTTTTGTCGACATGATGGACGGTTGATGGTCGTCGAAGAAGGTCGCGGAGGGTGGTAGTCCGGTTCCGTCGCTCATGAATCGGTGGTACCTGCTAGAAGACAACCATAAGTAGAATGGTGAAGGTCCATAAGTAGAACGGTGGAGGCGTGTGTATCTCTGGCTGGTGATCAATGTTGGTGACCGACGTCGATGACTGCGTTGTGTCCGTCGACATCAACGTCGACGTGGTGACCAAACCAGGTGGCTGCTGAGTTGTGTGTGGACGTCGTCTATGTTTGGTGGCTTGACAATGAATGCAAGGAGGGCCCTTGCGATGACAGTTTGTGCAAGTGGTACGAATACCAGTGCGTTTGTTTGAGATGGACATTGACACTTTTCGGCAATCGATGACATAGAAGGAGAGACTGGACGGAGCATGCTAATCGCGCTAAGAGAAAACGTGTCCGTCTGAACGAGTCGACATGTTCGTGTCGATGTGAACATGCAGATACAAAGACATTGGTCGTGACAAGATGATCTGATCTGAACGTGCTGCTGGAAGAACGTGCTGCTGGAAGAAGGTGTTGACCTTTGCGAGGTGGCTGGCTGACAACTGGCTGCAAAGCCTCGATAGTATATATATTGGCGAGCTCCAACTGCCCGACAGCACCGAAAGTACAGGTGGTCGATTCTTCCGTCGACAGGTTGACATGCTGATCCAAGTGATGACGAAAAGTAGCGACAAACAGCCTCACAAACAAGAGCGAGTCCGGCGGTGCACGCAGATTTTTCTTCTTGCTCGGCTTCCGTGTCGTCTCGTTCGTGAGCCCGTCTGCATGCGCTGCAGCATGTCAGTCGGCGCGATGTCCAGCATGTGTGAGGTCTACCATCCCCATCCGCCACCGTAGCCTCCCCATCCACCGTAGCCACCCCATCTCCCGAAGCCACCCCAGGGACGTCCCCATCCCAAGCCTCCCCACCACTCCTTGGACACCTTGCCTTCCGCACCGATGACGGCAGTAGGCTCGTTTTCCGCAGCTACATCAGCAGCAGCCTCAACAGGATGCGAATGTCGCTCGGTAGGACCCGCTGCCATCGTGTCAGTGCTGGGTGTAGCTGGTTCCGATGCAGCAAGGGCTCGGAGCGCCGGCTGGTAGTCAGTAGCTGAGGCGACGCTTGCTACAGCAACTAGCGCGGTGACGGCGAGAGCAGTGCACTTCATGGTCGATTTGGTCGGTTGGTCGAGTACTTGCTCGCTAGGTGTTGGTGTGGTAGTGCCAGTTGGTTTGTGAGTGCGATCGATGTACGAGCTAGCGAGTGGGCTGGTGTTGCGACGAGTGACTCGTCACGTAGCGTCATGGTGACTGCTTCAATTGATTGAGTTGATTGATTGCAAATCGAGTAGATGGTTGAAAAGTCGGCGCGTCTCGATCGCGTTTCCAGTCACGAGCGTGGAATAGAACTTCGAGCGAGGTTTGAATTCCACTGTAGTTTTGTCGACATGATGGACGGTTGATGGTCGTCGAAGAAGGTCGCGGAGGGTGGTAGTCCGGTTCCGTCGCTCATGAATCGGTGGTACCTGCTAGAAGACAACCATAAGTAGAATGGTGAAGGTCCATAAGTAGAACGGTGGAGGCGTGTGTATCTCTGGCTGGTGATCAATGTTGGTGACCGACGTCGATGACTGCGTTGTGTCCGTCGACATCAACGTCGACGTGGTGACCAAACCAGGTGGCTGCTGAGTTGTGTGTGGACGTCGTCTATGTTTGGTGGCTTGACAATGAATGCAAGGAGGGCCCTTGCGATGACAGTTTGTGCAAGTGGTACGAATACCAGTGCGTTTGTTTGAGATGGACATTGACACTTTTCGGCAATCGATGACATAGAAGGAGAAACTGGACGGAGCATGCTAATCGCGCTAAGAGAAAACGTGTCCGTCTGAACGAGTCGGCATGTTCGTGTCGATGTGAACATGCAGATACAAAGACATTGGTCGTGACAAGATGATCTGATCTGAACGTGCTGCTGGAAGAACGTGCTGCTGGAAGAAGGTGTTGACCTTTGCGAGGTGGCTGGCTGACAACTGGCTGCAAAGCCTCGATAGTATATATATTGGCGAGCTCCAACTGCCCGACAGCACCGAAAGTACAGGTGGTCGATTCTTCCGTCGACAGGTTGACATGCTGAGCCAAGTGATGACGAAAAGTAGCGACAAACAGCCTCACAAACAAGAGCGAGTCCGGCGGTGCACGCAGATTTTTCTTCTTGCTCGGCTTCCGTGTCGTCTCGTTCGTGAGCCCGTCTGCATGCGCTGCAGCATGTCAGTCGGCGCGATGTCCAGCATGTGTGAGGTCTACCATCCCCATCCGCCACCGTAGCCTCCCCATCCACCGTAGCCACCCCATCCTCCCGAAGCCACCCCAGGGACGTCCCCATCCCAAGCCTCCCCACCACTCCTTGGACACCTTGCCTTCCGCACCGATGACGGCAGTAGGCTCGTTTTCCGCAGCTACATCAGCAGCAGCCTCAACAGGATGCGAATGTCGCTCGGTAGGACCCGCTGCCATCGTGTCAGTGCTGGGTGTAGCTGGTTCCGATGCAGCAAGGGCTCGGAGCGCCGGCTGGTAGTCAGTAGCTGAGGCGACGCTTGCTACAGCAACTAGCGCGGTGACGGCGAGAGCAGTGCACTTCATGGTCGATTTGGTCGGTTGGTCGAGTACTTGCTCGCTAGGTGTTGGTGTGGTAGTGCCAGTTGGTTTGTGAGTGCGATCGATGTACGAGCTAGCGAGTGGGCTGGTGTTGCGACGAGTGACTCGTCACGTAGCGTCATGGTGACTGCTTCAATTGATTGAGTTGATTGATTGCAAATCGAGTAGATGGTTGAAAAGTCGGCGCGTCTCGATCGCGTTTCCAGTCACGAGCGTGGAATAGAACTTCGAGCGAGGTTTGAATTCCACTGTAGTTTTGTCGACATGATGGACGGTTGATGGTCGTCGAAGAAGGTCGCGGAGGGTGGTAGTCCGGTTCCGTCGCTCATGAATCGGTGGTACCTGCTAGAAGACAACCATAAGTAGAATGGTGAAGGTCCATAAGTAGAACGGTGGAGGCGTGTGTATCTCTGGCTGGTGATCAATGTTGGTGACCGACGTCGATGACTGCGTTGTGTCCGTCGACATCAACGTCGACGTGGTGACCAAACCAGGTGGCTGCTGAGTTGTGTGTGGACGTCGTCTATGTTTGGTGGCTTGACAATGAATGCAAGGAGGGCCCTTGCGATGACAGTTTGTGCAAGTGGTACGAATACCAGTGCGTTTGTTTGAGATGGACATTGACACTTTTCGGCAATCGATGACATAGAAGGAGAAACTGGACGGAGCATGCTAATCGCGCTAAGAGAAAACGTGTCCGTCTGAACGAGTCGACATGTTCGTGTCGATGTGAACATGCAGATACAAAGACATTGGTCGTGACAAGATGATCTGATCTGAACGTGCTGCTGGAAGAACGTGCTGCTGGAAGAAGGTGTTGACCTTTGCGAGGTGGCTGGCTGACAACTGGCTGCAAAGCCTCGATAGTATATATATTGGCGAGCTCCAACTGCCCGACAGCACCGAAAGTACAGGTGGTCGATTCTTCCGTCGACAGGTTGACATGCTGATCCAAGTGATGACGAAAAGTAGCGACAAACAGCCTCACAAACAAGAGCGAGTCCGGCGGTGCACGCAGATTTTTCTTCTTGCTCGGCTTCCGTGTCGTCTCGTTCGTGAGCCCGTCTGCACGCGCTGCAGCATGTCAGTCGGCGCGATGTCCAGCATGTGTGAGGTCTACCATCCCCATCCGCCACCGTAGCCTCCCCATCCACCGTAGCCACCCCATCCCCCGAAGCCACCCCAGGGACGTCCCCATCCCAAGCCTCCCCACCACTCCTTGGACTTCTTGCCTTCCGCACCGATAACGGCAGTAGGCTCGTTTTCCGCAGCTACATCAGCAGCAGCCTCAACAGGATGCGAATGTCGCTCGGTAGGACCCGCTGCCATCGTGTCAGTGCTGGGTGTAGCTGGCTCCAATGCAGCAAGGGCTCGGAGCGCCGGCTGGTAGTCAGTAGCTGAGGCGACGCTTGCTACAGCAACTAGCGCGGTGACGGCGAGAGCAGTGCACTTCATGGTCGATTTGGTCGGTTGGTCGAGTACTTGCTCGCTAGGTGCTGGTGTGGTAGTGCCAGTTGGTTTGTGAGTGCGATCGATGTACGAGCTAGCGAGTGGGCTGGTGTTGCGACGAGTGACTCGTCACGTAGCGTCATGGTGACTGCTTCAATTGATTGAGTTGATTGATTGCAAATCGAGTAGATGGTTGAAAAGTCGGCGCGTCTCGATCGCGTTTCCAGTCACGAGCGTGGAATAGAACTTCGAGCGAGGTTTGAATTCCACTGTAGTTTTGTCGACATGATGGACGGTTGATGGTCGTCGAAGAAGGTCGCGGAGGGTGGTAGTCCGGTTCCGTCGCTCATGAATCGGTGGTACCTGCTAGAAGACAACCATAAGTAGAATGGTGAAGGTCCATAAGTAGAACGGTGGAGGCGTGTGTATCTCTGGCTGGTGATCAATGTTGGTGACCGACGTCGATGACTGCGTTGTGTCCGTCGACATCAACGTCGACGTGGTGACCAAACCAGGTGGCTGCTGAGTTGTGTGTGGACGTCGTCTATGTTTGGTGGCTTGACAATGAATGCAAGGAGGGCCCTTGCGATGACAGTTTGTGCAAGTGGTACGAATACCAGTGCGTTTGTTTGAGATGGACATTGACACTTTTCGGCAATCGATGACATAGAAGGAGAGACTGGACGGAGCATGCTAATCGCGCTAAGAGAAAACGTGTCCGTCTGAACGAGTCGACATGTTCGTGTCGATGTGAACATGCAGATACAAAGACATTGGTCGTGACAAGATGATCTGATCTGAACGTGCTGCTGGAAGAACGTGCTGCTGGAAGAAGGTGTTGACCTTTGCGAGGTGGCTGGCTGACAACTGGCTGCAAAGCCTCGATAGTATATATATTGGCGAGCTCCAACTGCCCGACAGCACCGAAAGTACAGGTGGTCGATTCTTCCGTCGACAGGTTGACATGCTGAGCCAAGTGATGACGAAAAGTAGCGACAAACAGCCTCACAAACAAGAGCGAGTCCGGCGGTGCACGCAGATTTTTCTTCTTGCTCGGCTTCCGTGTCGTCTCGTTCGTGAGCCCGTCTGGATGCACTGCAGCATGTCAGTCGGCGCGATGTCCAGCATGTGTGAGGTCTACCATCCCCATCCGCCACCGCAGCCTCCCCATCCACCGTAGCCACCCCATCCCCCGAAGCCACCCCAGGGACGTCCCCATCCCAAGCCTCCCCACCACTCCTTGGACACCTTGCCTTCCGCACCGATGACGGCAGTAGGCTCGTTTTCCGCAGCTACATCAGCAGCAGCCTCAACAGGATGCGAATGTCGCTCGGTAGGACCCGCTGCCATCGTGTCAGTGCTGGGTGTAGCTGGTTCCGATGCAGCAAGGGCTCGGAGCGCCGGCTGGTAGTCAGTAGCTGAGGCGACGCTTGCTACAGCAACTAGCGCGGTGACGGCGAGAGCAGTGCACTTCATGGTCGATTTGGTCGGTTGGTCGAGTACTTGCTCGCTAGGTGCTGGTGTGGTAGTGCCAGTTGGTTTGTGAGTGCGATCGATGTACGAGCTAGCGAGTGGGCTGGTGTTGCGACGAGTGACTCGTCACGTAGCGTCATGGTGACTGCTTCAATTGATTGAGTTGATTGATTGCAAATCGAGTAGATGGTTGAAAAGTCGGCGCGTCTCGATCGCGTTTCCAGTCACGAGCGTGGAATAGAACTTCGAGCGAGGTTTGAATTCCACTGTAGTTTTGTCGACATGATGGACGGTTGATGGTCGTCGAAGAAGGTCGCGGAGGGTGGTAGTTCGGTTCCGTCGCTCATGAATCGGTGGTACCTGCTAGAAGACAACCATAAGTAGAATGGTGAAGGTCCATAAGTAGAACGGTGGAGGCGTGTGTATCTCTGGCTGGTGATCAATGTTGGTGACCGACGTCGATGACTGCGTTGTGTCCGTCGACATCAACGTCGACGTGGTGACCAAACCAGGTGGCTGCTGAGTTGTGTGTGGACGTCGTCTATGTTTGGTGGCTTGACAATGAATGCAAGGAGGGCCCTTGCGATGACAGTTTGTGCAAGTGGTACGAATACCAGTGCGTTTGTTTGAGATGGACATTGACACTTTTCGGCAATCGATGGCATAGAAGGAGAGACTGGACGGAGCATGCTAATCGCGCTAAGAGAAAACGTGTCCGTCTGAACGAGTCGACATGTTCGTGTCGATGTGAACATGCAGATACAAAGACATTGGTCGTGACAAGATGATCTGATCTGAACGTGCTGCTGGAAGAACGTGCTGCTGGAAGAAGGTGTTGACCTTTGCGAGGTGGCTGGCTGACAACTGGCTGCAAAGCCTCGACAGTATATATATTGGCGAGCTCCAACTGCCCGACAGCACCGAAAGTACAGGTGGTCGATTCTTCCGTCGACAGGTTGACATGCTGAGCCAAGTGATGACGAAAAGTAGCGACAAACAGCCTCACAAACAAGAGCGAGTCCGGCGGTGCACGCAGATTTTTCTTCTTGCTCGGCTTCCGTGTCGTCTCGTTCGTGAGCCCGTCTGCATGCGCTGCAGCATGTCAGTCGGCGCGATGTCCAGCATGTGTGAGGTCTACCATCCCCATCCGCCACCGTAGCCTCCCCATCCACCGTAGCCACCCCATCCCCCGAAGCCACCCCAGGGACGTCCCCATCCCAAGCCTCCCCACCACTCCTTGGACACCTTGCCTTCCGCACCGATGACGGCAGTAGGCTCGTTTTCTGCAGCTACATCAGCAGCAGCCTCAACAGGATGCGAATGTCGCTCGGTAGGACCCGCTGCCATCGTGTCAGTGCTGGGTGTAGCTGGTTCCGATGCAGCAAGGGCTCGGAGCGCCGGCTGGTAGTCAGTAGCTGAGGCGACGCTTGCTACAGCAACTAGCGCGGTGACGGCGAGAGCAGTGCACTTCATGGTCGATTTGGTCGGTTGGTCGAGTACTTGCTCGCTAGGTGTTGGTGTGGTAGTGCCAGTTGGTTTGTGAGTGCGATCGATGTACGAGCTAGCGAGTGGGCTGGTGTTGCGACGAGTGACTCGTCACGTAGCGTCATGGTGACTGCTTCAATTGATTGAGTTGATTGATTGCAAATCGAGTAGATGGTTGAAAAGTCGGCGCGTCTCGATCGCGTTTCCAGTCACGAGCGTGGAATAGAACTTCGAGCGAGGTTTGAATTCCACTGTAGTTTTGTCGACATGATGGACGGTTGATGGTCGTCGAAGAAGGTCGCGGAGGGTGGTAGTTCGGTTCCGTCGCTCATGAATCGGTGGTACCTGCTAGAAGACAACCATAAGTAGAATGGTGAAGGTCCATAAGTAGAACGGTGGAGGCGTGTGTATCTCTGGCTGGTGATCAATGTTGGTGACCGACGTCGATGACTGCGTTGTGTCCGTCGACATCAACGTCGACGTGGTGACCAAACCAGGTGGCTGCTGAGTTGTGTGTGGACGTCGTCTATGTTTGGTGGCTTGACAATGAATGCAAGGAGGGCCCTTGCGATGACAGTTTGTGCAAGTGGTACGAATACCAGTGCGTTTGTTTGAGATGGACATTGACACTTTTCGGCAATCGATGGCATAGAAGGAGAGACTGGACGGAGCATGCTAATCGCGCTAAGAGAAAACGTGTCCGTCTGAACGAGTCGGCATGTTCGTGTCGATGTGAACATGCAGATACAAAGACATTGGTCGTGACAAGATGATCTGATCTGAACGTGCTGCTGGAAGAACGTGTTGACCTTCGCGAGGTGGCTGGCTGACAACTGGCTGCAAAGCCTCGACAGTATATATATTGGCGAGCTCCAACTGCCCGACAGCACCGAAAGTACAGGTGGTCGATTCTTCCGTCGACAGGTTGACATGCTGAGCCAAGTGATGACGAAAAGTAGCGACAAACAGCCTCACAAACAAGAGCGAGTCCGGCGGTGCACGCAGATTTTTCTTCTTGCTCGGCTTCCGTGTCGTCTCGTTCGTGAGCCCGTCTGCATGCGCTGCAGCATGTCAGTCGGCGCGATGTCCAGCATGTGTGAGGTCTACCATCCCCATCCGCCACCGTAGCCTCCCCATCCACCGTAGCCACCCCATCCCCCGAAGCCACCCCAGGGACGTCCCCATCCCAAGCCTCCCCACCACTCCTTGGACACCTTGCCTTCCGCACCGATGACGGCAGTAGGCTCGTTTTCTGCAGCTACATCAGCAGCAGCCTCAACAGGATGCGAATGTCGCTCGGTAGGACCCGCTGCCATCGTGTCAGTGCTGGGTGTAGCTGGTTCCGATGCAGCAAGGGCTCGGAGCGCCGGCTGGTAGTCAGTAGCTGAGGCGACGCTTGCTACAGCAACTAGCGCGGTGACGGCGAGAGCAGTGCACTTCATGGTCGATTTGGTCGGTTGGTCGAGTACTTGCTCGCTAGGTGTTGGTGTGGTAGTGCCAGAGAATTCACTCACGGATCTTCTTTATAGAGATGACTTCCAACTCGCCTACACGTACCTTTGCCTCTTCAAACTCGATCTGCTGCTTCATCTCAATCTTTACAGACTTAACTAGTTCTCCCGACAGATTCTGCCCAGCAAAGCAACCCACCGCAACGTCATGTTTATTGAATAATCTTTAGATGAGCCCGCCAGTTTCCGTCTTCTCTCCCGTCTGTGTACCTTTATGGGAGTAACCGCCAGGTCATGGACCTACATCGCGACCGCCCGTATCCCTGCTTCAGCCTGACCATCATCACGTCGCGTCTCTCACACACCAGCGACTGGCCCCACTTGTGCAGGTCTTTGAAGCACTTTGCTAAAGGTACACACGTCATTCGCGCAGCAAGATCCCCAAGACTCGCAGCATGCGCGGCCAGAAATGCCGCCTGATCTGCATGCACGCCCTTCGCCTTTACCGTAGCTCCTTGACCGTGCGTCTAGTGCGCTCCACGAGCTCCGGCTGTAGCTGCAGCGTCCGGCCGCACTCTGCTGTGACAAACTTCAGGTCAAAAGATCCTCTACGCCAAGTGCACACCAGCTATATGCCAACTTCACATATAAACTACTGCGAACGTCTAGTTTGTGGTCAACGCTATTTAAGTTTGGACAAATAGACGCTGTACTCCACTCTCTCTCTCTCTCTCTCTCTTTGTCTCTGTTTACAAGACTTATGGTGTCGATGCGGACGTTGATCAAGGGCGGCGGGTGGAAAAAAAACGAGGATGAGACCCTCAAAAAGGCTGTGGAGAGGTACGGTACGAGCAAGTGGGCGCGCGTGGCATCTCTGCTCCCGCGCAAGTCGATCAAGCAGTGTATAGCGCGGTGGTACGAGTGGCTCCATCCGACCATCAACCTGGCTGAGTGGAGTCGCGAAGAGGAAGAAAAGCTTCTGCATCACGCCAAGCTCATGCCCTTGCAGTGGCAAGCGATTGCGGATATTGTGGGGCGCACAGCAGCGCAGTGTCTATACCACTATGAGCGACTACTGGACGCAGCGCAGAAGAAGAACAGCGTGGTCGTGAGCGATGATCCGAGACGGCTGCGTCCGGGTGAAATTGACCCCAGTCAAGAGGGAAGACTAGCGTGGTCGGACCCCGTGGACGTTGACGAAGACAAGAAGGAGGTGCTGTCGGACGCACAGGCTCGATTGGCGAGTACAAAGGGCAAAAAAGACAAGATGAAGAATCATGAGACGCAGCACGAGGAAGCGCGAGGACTGAAGGTCTTGCCAAAGAAACGAGATCTCGAGATGGCGGGCTTGTTGTCGTCAAGTTCAAGTGTGGACATGAAGAAACGGAAGATTGATCGTGCGACCAAGATTCCGTTTGAGAAGAAAGCGTCAGCTGGATTATGTGATGTGTTGGAGGTAAAACGATTTGCAAATAAAATGGATGAGAAGTGTGACGATGTCAAGCAGCAGAAAGTGGATGACGGAGAAGTGCAATTTGAACAGCAGTACCGAAATCGTACCCAGACTAGCAGTACTTTTTTGTTTGGACAAGCGTACAAGAATCGCAATCCAGTTGCAATTACTGGAAAAAAGAACGGAAAATTTTTCCACGCAACCAAGTCGGCGGGTTCCACTTCCAACAGTGGAGCATCGAAGAAAGAGTCAGAAGCATGTCAAGGGTCAAAAAGTCCTGTTGATGACTTTAAGCTTCATGCGAGTAACGTCAGAAGCAATTTTACGGCACCTCCAACTTCATTTTCTCCTCGAGTTGCAAGATCAAGAATACACCGTCACAGATTTGATCATGGGAACTGGCGGGGCGGATTCCAGTCGTCAGGTGCAAGAAGTCGGGCTTCATTTTTGGCGTTGAAGACCGAATGCCGTACGCATTACGAAGTGCTTGGTATTGACAAGACAGCGACGAGCGACCAAGTCAAGAGGTCGTACCAAAAATTGGCGCGTGTGTATCATCCAGGTAAGCATTTCAATTGACAAGAACCATGCTGTTTTTAATTAATGCGTATGTTCACTTTCTAATCGTTTAAACCTGCAGATAAGTCAAAGGTGATGTCACATGCTGATTTGTTTAAGGACATGACAGCAGCGTACAGCGTGCTTTCCGACAAAAGTGCCCGAAATGCGTATGATATTGAGCTGATGAAGAAAAATTCTGGCAATTTCTACAAGAACTAGCGAGTGCAAGGACCGAGAAGTGTAAGTGTTCGGCGTGACCAGCGGCGGCAAATGGTGCGTAAGCTTCATGCGCTTTATTCAATCTTGTATCCATGGCAGATAGTGACGGCCCCAGGGCCCTCCTTGCATTCATTGTCAAGCCATCAAACATAGACGACGTCCACACACAACTCAGCAGCCACCTGGTTTGGTCACCACGTCGACGTTGATGTCGACGGACACAACGCAGTCATCGACGTCGGTCACCAACATTGATCACCAGCCAGAGATACACACGCCTCCACCGTTCTACTTATGGACCTTCACCATTCTACTTATGGTTGTCTTCTAGCAGGTACCACCGATTCATGAGCGACGGAACCGGACTACCACCCTCCGCGACCTTCTTCGACGACCATCAACCGTCCATCATGTCGACAAAACTACAGTGGAATTCAAACCTCGCTCGAAGTTCTATTCCACGCTCGTGACTGGAAACGCGATCGAGACGCGCCGACTTTTCAACCATCTACTCGATTTACAATCAATCAACTCAATCAATTGAAGCAGTCACCATGACGCTACGTGACGAGTCACTCGTCGCAACACCAGCCCACTCGCTAGCTCGTACATCGATCGCACTCACAAACCAACTGGCACTACCACACCAGCACCTAGCGAGCAAGTACTCGACCAACCGACCAAATCGACCATGAAGTGCACTGCTCTCGCCGTCACCGCGCTAGTTACTGTAGCAAGCGTCGCCTCAGCTACTGACTACCAGCCGGCGCTCCGAGCCCTTGCTGCATCGGAACCAGCTACACCCAGCACTGATACGATGGCAGCGGGTCCTACCGAGCGACATTCGCATCCTGTTGAGGCTGCTGCTGATGTAGCTGCGGAAAAAGAGCCTACTGCCGTCATTGGTGCGGAAGGCAAGGTGTCCAAGGAGTGGTGGGGAGGCTTGGGATGGGGACGTCCCTGGGGTGGCTTCGGGGGATGGGATGGCTACGGTGGATGGGGAGGCTGCGGTGGCGGATGGGGATGGTAGACCTCACACATGCTGGACATCGCGCCGACTGACATGCTGCAGTGCATCCAGACGGGCTCACGAACGAGACAACACGGAAGCCGAGCAAGAAGAAAAATCTGCGTGCACCGCCGGACTCGCTCTTGTTTGTGAGGCTGTTTGTCGCTACTTTTCGTCATCACTTGGCTCAGCATGTCAACCTGTCGACGGAAGAATCGACCACCTGTACTTTCGGTGCTGTCGGGCAGTTGGAGCTCGCCAATATATATACTATCGAGGCTTTGCAGCCAGTTGTCAGCCAGCCACCTCGCAAAGGTCAACACCTTCTTCCAGCAGCACGTTCTTCCAGCAGCACGTTCAGATCAGATCATCTTGTCACGACCAATGTCTTTGTATCTGCATGTTCACATCGACACGAACATGTCGACTCGTTCAGACGGACACGTTTTCTCTTAGCGCGGTTAGCATGCTCCGTCCAGTCTCTCCTTCTATGTCATCGATTGCCGAAAAGTGTCAATGTCCATCTCAAACAAACGCACTGGTATTCGTACCACTTGCACAAACTGTCATCGCAAGGGCCCTCCTTGCATTCATTGTCGAGCCACCAAACATAGACGACGTCCACACACAACTCAGCAGCCACCTGGTTTGGTCACCACGTCGACGTTGATGTCGACGGACACAACGCAGTCATCGACGTCGGTCACCAACATTGATCACCAGCCAGAGATACACACGCCTCCACCGTTCTACTTATGGACCTTCACCATTCTACTTATGGTTGTCTTCTAGCAGGTACCACCGATTCATGAGCGACGGAACCGGACTACCACCCTCCGCGACCTTCTTCGACGACCATCAACCGTCCATCATGTCGACAAAACTACAGTGGAATTCAAACCTCGCTCGAAGTTCTATTCCACGCTCGTGACTGGAAACGCGATCGAGACGCGCCGACTTTTCAACCATCTACTCGATTTGCAATCAATCAACTCAATCAATTGAAGCAGTCACCATGACGCTACGTGACGAGTCACTCGTCGCAACACCAGCCCACTCGCTAGCTCGTACATCGATCGCACTCACAAACCAACTGGCACTACCACACCAACACCTAGCGAGCAAGTACTCGACCAACCGACCAAATCGACCATGAAGTGCACTGCTCTCGCCGTCACCGCGCTAGTTACTGTAGCAAGCGTCGCCTCAGCTACTGACTACCAGCCGGCGCTCCGAGCCCTTGCTGCATCGGAACCAGCTACACCCAGCACTGATACGATGGCAGCGGGTCCTACCGAGCGACATTCGCATCCTGTTGAGGCTGCTGCTGATGTAGCTGCGGAAAAGAGCCTACTGCCGTCATTGGTGCGGAAGGCAAGGTGTCCAAGGAGTGGTGGGGAGGCTTGGGATGGGGACGTCCCTGGGGTGGCTTCGGGGGATGGGGTGGCTACGGTGGATGGGGAGGCTACGGTGGCGGATGGGGATGGTAGACCTCACACATGCTGGACATCGCGCCGACTGACATGCTGCAGCGCATCCAGACGGGCTCACGAACGAGACGACACGGAAGCCGAGCAAGAAGAAAAATCTGCGTGCACCGCCGGACTCGCTCTTGTTTGTGAGGCTGTTTGTCGCTACTTTTCGTCATCACTTGGCTCAGCATGTCAACCTGTCGACGGAAGAATCGACCACCTGTACTTTCGGTGCTGTCGGGCAGTTGGAGCTCGCCAATATATATACTGTCGAGGCTTTGCAGCCAGTTGTCAGCCAGCCACCTCGCAAAGGTCAACACCTTCTTCCAGCAGCACGTTCTTCCAGCAGCACGTTCAGATCAGATCATCTTGTCACGACCAATGTCTTTGTATCTGCATGTTCACATCGACACGAACATGTCGACTCGTTCAGACGGACACGTTTTCTCTTAGCGCGATTAGCATGCTCCGTCCAGTCTCTCCTTCTATGTCATCGATTGCCGAAAAGTGTCAATGTCCATCTCAAACAAACGCACTGGTATTCGTACCACTTGCACAAACTGTCATCGCAAGGGCCCTCCTTGCATTCATTGTCAAGCCACCAAACATAGACGACGTCCACACACAACTCAGCAGCCACCTGGTTTGGTCACCACGTCGACGTTGATGTCGACGGACACAACGCAGTCATCGACGTCGGTCACCAACATTGATCACCAGCCAGAGATACACACGCCTCCACCGTTCTACTTATGGACCTTCACCATTCTACTTATGGTTGTCTTCTAGCAGGTACCACCGATTCATGAGCGACGGAACCGGACTACCACCCTCCGCGACCTTCTTCGACGACCATCAACCGTCCATCATGTCGACAAAACTACAGTGGAATTCAAACCTCGCTCGAAGTTCTATTCCACGCTCGTGACTGGAAACGCGATCGAGACGCGCCGACTTTTCAACCATCTACTCGATTTGCAATCAATCAACTCAATCAATTGAAGCAGTCACCATGACGCTACGTGACGAGTCACTCGTCGCAACACCAGCCCACTCGCTAGCTCGTACATCGATCGCACTCACAAACCAACTGGCACTACCACACCAGCACCTAGCGAGCAAGTACTCGACCAACCGACCAAATCGACCATGAAGTGCACTGCTCTCGCCGTCACCGCGCTAGTTGCTGTAGCAAGCGTCGCCTCAGCTACTGACTACCAGCCGGCGCTCCGAGCCCTTGCTGCATCGGAACCAGCTACACCCAGCACTGACACGATGGCAGCGGGTCCTACCGAGCGACATTCGCATCCTGTTGAGGCTGCTGCTGATGTAGCTGCAGAAAACGAGCCTACTGCCGTCATCGGTGCGGAAGGCAAGGAGTCCAAGGAGTGGTGGGGAGGCTTGGGATGGGGACGTCCCTGGGGTGGCTTCGGGGGATGGGGTGGGGTGGCTACGGTGGATGGGGAGGCTACGGTGGCGGATGGGGATGGTAGACCTCACACATGCTGGACATCGCGCCGACTGACATGCTGCAGCGCATGCATAGGAGAGAGGGGTCACGAACGAGACAACACGGAAGCCGAGCAAGAAGAAAAATCTGCGTGCACCGCCGGACTCGCTCTTGTTTGTGAGGCTGTTTGTCGCTACTTTTCGTCATCACTTGGCTCAGCATGTCAACCTGTCGACGGAAGAATCGACCACCTGTACTTTCGGTGCTGTCGGGCAGTTGGAGCTCGCCAATATATATACTGTCGAGGCTTTGCAGCCAGTTGTCAGCCAGCCACCTCGCGAAGGTCAACACCTTCTTCCAGCAGCACGTTCTTCCAGCAGCACGTTCAGATCAGATCATCTTGTCACGACCAATGTCTTTGTATCTGCATGTTCACATCGACACGAACATGTCGACTCGTTCAGACGGACACGTTTTCTCTTAGCGCGATTAGCATGCTCCGTCCAGTTTCTCCTTCTATGTCATCGATTGCCGAAAAGTGTCAATGTCCATCTCAAACAAACGCACTGGTATTCGTACCACTTGCACAAACTGTCATCGCAAGGGCCCTCCTTGCATTCATTGTCAAGCCACCAAACATAGACGACGTCCACACACAACTCAGCAGCCACCTGGTTTGGTCACCACGTCGACGTTGATGTCGACGGACACAACGCAGTCATCGACGTCGGTCACCAACATTGATCACCAGCCAGAGATACACACGCCTCCACCGTTCTACTTATGGACCTTCACCATTCTACTTATGGTTGTCTTCTAGCAGGTACCACCGATTCATGAGCGACGGAACCGGACTACCACCCTCCGCGACCTTCTTCGACGACCATCAACCGTCCATCATGTCGACAAAACTACAGTGGAATTCAAACCTCGCTCGAAGTTCTATTCCACGCTCGTGACTGGAAACGCGATCGAGACGCGCCGACTTTTCAACCATCTACTCGATTTGCAATCAATCAACTCAATCAATTGAAGCAGTCACCATGACGCTACGTGACGAGTCACTCGTCGCAACACCAGCCCACTCGCTAGCTCGTACATCGATCGCACTCACAAACCAACTGGCACTACCACACCAGCACCTAGCGAGCAAGTACTCGACCAACCGACCAAATCGACCATGAAGTGCACTGCTCTCGCCGTCACCGCGCTAGTTGCTGTAGCAAGCGTCGCCTCAGCTACTGACTACCAGCCGGCGCTCCGAGCCCTTGCTGCATCGGAACCAGCTACACCCAGCACTGACACGATGGCAGCGGGTCCTACCGAGCGACATTCGCATCCTGTTGAGGCTGCTGCTGATGTAGCTGCAGAAAACGAGCCTACTGCCGTCATCGGTGCGGAAGGCAAGGTGTCCAAGGAGTGGTGGGGAGGCTTGGGATGGGGACGTCCCTGGGGTGGCTTCGGGGGGATGGGGTGGCTACGGTGGATGGGGAGGCTACGGTGGCGGATGGGGATGGTAGACCTCACACATGCTGGACATCGCGCCGACTGACATGCTGCAGCGCATGCAGACGGGCTCACGAACGAGACGACACGGAAGCCGAGCAAGAAGAAAAATCTGCGTGCACCGCCGGACTCGCTCTTGTTTGTGAGGCTGTTTGTCGCTACTTTTCGTCATCACTTGGCTCAGCATGTTAACCTGTCGACGGAAGGATCGACCACCTGTACTTTCGGTGCTGTCGGGCAGTTGGAGCTCGCCAATATATATACTGTCGAGGCTTTGCAGCCAGTTGTCAGCCAGCCACCTCGCGAAGGTCAACACGTTCTTCCAGCAGCACGTTCTTCCAGCAGCACGTTCAGATCAGATCATCTTGTCACGACCAATGTCTTTGTATCTGCATGTTCACATCGACACGAACATGTCGACTCGTTCAGACGGACACGTTTTCTCTTAGCGCGATTAGCATGCTCCGTCCAGTTTCTCCTTCTATGTCATCGATTGCCGAAAAGTGTCAATGTCCATCTCAAACAAACGCACTGGTATTCGTACCACTTGCACAAACTGTCATCGCAAGGGCCCTCCTTGCATTCATTGTCAAGCCACCAAACATAGACGACGTCCACACACAACTCAGCAGCCACCTGGTTTGGTCACCACGTCGACGTTGATGTCGACGGACACAACGCAGTCATCGACGTCGGTCACCAACATTGATCACCAGCCAGAGATACACACGCCTCCACCGTTCTACTTATGGACCTTCACCATTCTACTTATGGTTGTCTTCTAGCAGGTACCACCGATTCATGAGCGACGGAACCGGACTACCACCCTCCGCGACCTTCTTCGACGACCATCAACCGTCCATCATGTCGACAAAACTACAGTGGAATTCAAACCTCGCTCGAAGTTCTATTCCACGCTCGTGACTGGAAACGCGATCGAGACGCGCCGACTTTTCAACCATCTACTCGATTTGCAATCAATCAACTCAATCAATTGAAGCAGTCACCATGACGCTACGTGACGAGTCACTCGTCGCAACACCAGCCCACTCGCTAGCTCGTACATCGATCGCACTCACAAACCAACTGGCACTACCACACCAGCACCTAGCGAGCAAGTACTCGACCAACCGACCAAATCGACCATGAAGTGCACTGCTCTCGCCGTCACCGCGCTAGTTGCTGTAGCAAGCGTCGCCTCAGCTACTGACTACCAGCCGGCGCTCCGAGCCCTTGCTGCATCGGAACCAGCTACACCCAGCACTGACACGATGGCAGCGGGTCCTACCGAGCGACATTCGCATCCTGTTGAGGCTGCTGCTGATGTAGCTGCGGAAAACGAGCCTACTGCCGTCATCGGTGCGGAAGGCAAGGTGTCCAAGGAGTGGTGGGGAGGCTTGGGATGGGGACGTCCCTGGGGTGGCTTCGGAGGATGGGGTGGCTACGGTGGATGGGGAGGCTACGGTGGCGGATGGGGATGGTAGACCTCACACATGCTGGACATCGCGCCGACTGACATGCTGCAGCGCATGCAGACGGGCTCACGAACGAGACGACACGGAAGCCGAGCAAGAAGAAAAATCTGCGTGCACCGCCGGACTCGCTCTTGTTTGTGAGGCTGTTTGTCGCTACTTTTCGTCATCACTTGGCTCAGCATGTCAACCTGTCGACGGAAGAATCGACCACCTGTACTTTCGGTGCTGTCGGGCAGTTGGAGCTCGCCAATATATATACTGTCGAGGCTTTGCAGCCAGTTGTCAGCCAGCCACCTCGCGAAGGTCAACACGTTCTTCCAGCAGCACGTTCAGATCAGATCATCTTGTCACGACCAATGTCTTTGTATCTGCATGTTCACATCGACACGAACATGTCCGACTCGTTCAGACGGACACGTTTTCTCTTAGCGCGATTAGCATGCTCCGTCCAGTTTCTCCTTCTATGTCATCGATTGCCGAAAAGTGTCAATGTCCATCTCAAACAAACGCACTGGTATTCGTACCACTTGCACAAACTGTCATCGCAAGGGCCCTCCTTGCATTCATTGTCAAGCCACCAAACATAGACGACGTCCACACACAACTCAGCAGCCACCTGGTTTGGTCACCACGTCGACGTTGATGTCGACGGACACAACGCAGTCATCGACGTCGGTCACCAACATTGATCACCAGCCAGAGATACACACGCCTCCACCGTTCTACTTATGGACCTTCACCATTCTACTTATGGTTGTCTTCTAGCAGGTACCACCGATTCATGAGCGACGGAACCGGACTACCACCCTCCGCGACCTTCTTCGACGACCATCAACCGTCCATCATGTCGACAAAACTACAGTGGAATTCAAACCTCGCTCGAAGTTCTATTCCACGCTCGTGACTGGAAACGCGATCGAGACGCGCCGACTTTTCAACCATCTACTCGATTTGCAATCAATCAACTCAATCAATTGAAGCAGTCACCATGACGCTACGTGACGAGTCACTCGTCGCAACACCAGCCCACTCGCTAGCTCGTACATCGATCGCACTCACAAACCAACTGGCACTACCACACCAGCACCTAGCGAGCAAGTACTCGACCAACCGACCAAATCGACCATGAAGTGCACTGCTCTCGCCGTCACCGCGCTAGTTGCTGTAGCAAGCGTCGCCTCAGCTACTGACTACCAGCCGGCGCTCCGAGCCCTTGCTGCATCGGAACCAGCTACACCCAGCACTGACACGATGGCAGCGGGTCCTACCGAGCGACATTCGCATCCTGTTGAGGCTGCTGCTGATGTAGCTGCGGAAAACGAGCCTACTGCCGTCATCGGTGCGGAAGGCAAGGTGTCCAAGGAGTGGTGGGGAGGCTTGGGATGGGGACGTCCCTGGGGTGGCTTCGGAGGATGGGGTGGCTACGGTGGATGGGGAGGCTACGGTGGCGGATGGGGATGGTAGACCTCACACATGCTGGACATCGCGCCGACTGACATGCTGCAGCGCATGCAGACGGGCTCACGAACGAGACAACACGGAAGCCGAGCAAGAAGAAAAATCTGCGTGCACCGCCGGACTCGCTCTTGTTTGTGAGGCTGTTTGTCGCTACTTTTCGTCATCACTTGGCTCAGCATGTCAACCTGTCGACGGAAGAATCGACCACCTGTACTTTCGGTGCTGTCGGGCAGTTGGAGCTCGCCAATATATATACTGTCGAGGCTTTGCAGCCAGTTGTCAGCCATCCACCTCGCGAAGGTCAACACGTTCTTCCAGCAGCACGTTCCCAGCAGCACGTTCAGATCAGATCATCTTGTCACGACCAATGTCTTTGTATCTGCATGTTCACATCGACACGAACATGCCGACTCGTTCAGACGGACACGTTTTCTCTTAGCGCGATTAGCATGCTCCGTCCAGTTTCTCCTTCTATGTCATCGATTGCCGAAAAGTGTCAATGTCCATCTCAAACAAACGCACTGGTATTCGTACCACTTGCACAAACTGTCATCGCAAGGGCCCTCCTTGCATTCATTGTCAAGCCACCAAACATAGACGACGTCCACACACAACTCAGCAGCCACCTGGTTTGGTCACCACGTCGACGTTGATGTCGACGGACACAACGCAGTCATCGACGTCGGTCACCAACATTGATCACCAGCCAGAGATACACACGCCTCCACCGTTCTACTTATGGACCTTCACCATTCTACTTATGGTTGTCTTCTAGCAGGTACCACCGATTCATGAGCGACGGAACCGGACTACCACCCTCCGCGACCTTCTTCGACGACCATCAACCGTCCATCATGTCGACAAAACTACAGTGGAATTCAAACCTCGCTCGAAGTTCTATTCCACGCTCGTGACTGGAAACGCGATCGAGACGCGCCGACTTTTCAACCATCTACTCGATTTGCAATCAATCAACTCAATCAATTGAAGCAGTCACCATGACGCTACGTGACGAGTCACTCGTCGCAACACCAGCCCACTCGCTAGCTCGTACATCGATCGCACTCACAAACCAACTGGCACTACCACACCAGCACCTAGCGAGCAAGTACTCGACCAACCGACCAAATCGACCATGAAGTGCACTGCTCTCGCCGTCACCGCGCTAGTTGCTGTAGCAAGCGTCGCCTCAGCTACTGACTACCAGCCGGCGCTCCGAGCCCTTGCTGCATCGGAACCAGCTACACCCAGCACTGACACGATGGCAGCGGGTCCTACCGAGCGACATTCGCATCCTGTTGAGGCTGCTGCTGATGTAGCTGCGGAAAACGAGCCTACTGCCGTCATCGGTGCGGAAGGCAAGGTGTCCAAGGAGTGGTGGGGAGGCTTGGGATGGGGACGTCCCTGGGGTGGCTTCGGGGGATGGGGTGGCTACGGTGGATGGGGAGGCTACGGTGGCGGATGGGGATGGTAGACCTCACACATGCTGGACATCGCGCCGACTGACATGCTGCAGCGCATGCAGACGGGCTCACGAACGAGACGACACGGAAGCCGAGCAAGAAGAAAAATCTGCGTGCACCGCCGGACTCGCTCTTGTTTGTGAGGCTGTTTGTCGCTACTTTTCGTCATCACTTGGATCAGCATGTCAACCTGTCGACGGAAGGATCGACCACCTGTACTTTCGGTGCTGTCGGGCAGTTGGAGCTCGCCAATATATATACTGTCGAGGCTTTGCAGCCAGTTGTCAGCCAGCCACCTCGCGAAGGTCAACACGTTCTTCCAGCAGCACGTTCAGATCAGATCATCTTGTCACGACCAATGTCTTTGTATCTGCATGTTCACATCGACACGAACATGTCGACTCGTTCAGACGGACACGGTTTCTCTTAGCGCGATTAGCATGCTCCGTCCAGTTTCTCCTTCTATGTCATCGATTGCCGAAAAGTGTCAATGTCCATCTCAAACAAACGCACTGGTATTCGTACCACTTGCACAAACTGTCATCGCAAGGGCCCTCCTTGCATTCATTGTCAAGCCACCAAACATAGACGACGTCCACACACAACTCAGCAGCCACCTGGTTTGGTCACCACGTCGACGTTGATGTCGACGGACACAACGCAGTCATCGACGTCGGTCACCAACATTGATCACCAGCCAGAGATACACACGCCTCCACCGTTCTACTTATGGACCTTCACCATTCTACTTATGGTTGTCTTCTAGCAGGTACCACCGATTCATGAGCGACGGAACCGGACTACCACCCTCCGCGACCTTCTTCGACGACCATCAACCGTCCATCATGTCGACAAAACTACAGTGGAATTCAAACCTCGCTCGAAGTTCTATTCCACGCTCGTGACTGGAAACGCGATCGAGACGCGCCGACTTTTCAACCATCTACTCGATTTGCAATCAATCAACTCAATCAATTGAAGCAGTCACCATGACGCTACGTGACGAGTCACTCGTCGCAACACCAGCCCACTCGCTAGCTCGTACATCGATCGCACTCACAAACCAACTGGCACTACCACACCAGCACCTAGCGAGCAAGTACTCGACCAACCGACCAAATCGACCATGAAGTGCACTGCTCTCGCCGTCACCGCGCTAGTTGCTGTAGCAAGCGTCGCCTCAGCTACTGACTACCAGCCGGCGCTCCGAGCCCTTGCTGCATCGGAACCAGCTACACCCAGCACTGACACGATGGCAGCGGGTCCTACCGAGCGACATTCGCATCCTGTTGAGGCTGCTGCTGATGTAGCTGCGGAAAACGAGCCTACTGCCGTCATCGGTGCGGAAGGCAAGGTGTCCAAGGAGTGGTGGGGAGGCTTGGGATGGGGACGTCCCTGGGGTGGCTTCGGAGGATGGGGTGGCTACGGTGGATGGGGAGGCTACGGTGGCGGATGGGGATGGTAGACCTCACACATGCTGGACATCGCGCCGACTGACATGCTGCAGCGCATGCAGACGGGCTCACGAACGAGACGACACGGAAGCCGAGCAAGAAGAAAAATCTGCGTGCACCGCCGGACTCGCTCTTGTTTGTGAGGCTGTTTGTCGCTACTTTTCGTCATCACTTGGCTCAGCATGTCAACCTGTCGACGGAAGAATCGACCACCTGTACTTTCGGTGCTGTCGGGCAGTTGGAGCTCGCCAATATATATACTGTCGAGGCTTTGCAGCCAGTTGTCAGCCAGCCACCTCGCGAAGGTCAACACCTTCTTCCAGCAGCACGTTCTTCCAGCAGCACGTTCAGATCAGATCATCTTGTCACGACCAATGTCTTTGTATCTGCATGTTCACATCGACACGAACATGCCGACTCGTTCAGACGGACACGTTTTCTCTTAGCGCGATTAGCATGCTCCGTCCAGTCTCTCCTTCTATGTCATCGATTGCCGAAAAGTGTCAATGTCCATCTCAAACAAACGCACTGGTATTCGTACCACTTGCACAAACTGTCATCGCAAGGGCCCTCCTTGCATTCATTGTCAAGCCACCAAACATAGACGACGTCCACACACAACTCAGCAGCCACCTGGTTTGGTCACCACGTCGACGTTGATGTCGACGGACACAACGCAGTCATCGACGTCGGTCACCAACATTGATCACCAGCCAGAGATACACACGCCTCCACCGTTCTACTTATGGACCTTCACCATTCTACTTATGGTTGTCTTCTAGCAGGTACCACCGATTCATGAGCGACGGAACCGGACTACCACCCTCCGCGACCTTCTTCGACGACCATCAACCGTCCATCATGTCGACAAAACTACAGTGGAATTCAAACCTCGCTCGAAGTTCTATTCCACGCTCGTGACTGGAAACGCGATCGAGACGCGCCGACTTTTCAACCATCTACTCGATTTGCAATCAATCAACTCAATCAATTGAAGCAGTCACCATGACGCTACGTGACGAGTCACTCGTCGCAACACCAGCCCACTCGCTAGCTCGTACATCGATCGCACTCACAAACCAACTGGCACTACCACACCAACACCTAGCGAGCAAGTACTCGACCAACCGACCAAATCGACCATGAAGTGCACTGCTCTCGCCGTCACCGCGCTAGTTGCTGTAGCAAGCGTCGCCTCAGCTACTGACTACCAGCCGGCGCTCCGAGCCCTTGCTGCATCGGAACCAGCTACACCCAGCACTGACACGATGGCAGCGGGTCCTACCGAGCGACATTCGCATCCTGTTGAGGCTGCTGCTGATGTAGCTGCGGAAAACGAGCCTACTGCCGTCATCGGTGCGGAAGGCAAGGTGTCCAAGGAGTGGTGGGGAGGCTTGGGATGGGGACGTCCCTGGGGTGGCTTCGGAGGATGGGGTGGCTACGGTGGATGGGGAGGCTACGGTGGCGGATGGGGATGGTAGACCTCACACATGCTGGACATCGCGCCGACTGACATGCTGCAGCGCATCCAGACGGGCTCACGAACGAGACGACACGGAAGCCGAGCAAGAAGAAAAATCTGCGTGCACCGCCGGACTCGCTCTTGTTTGTGAGGCTGTTTGTCGCTACTTTTCGTCATCACTTGGCTCAGCATGTCAACCTGTCGACGGAAGAATCGACCACCTGTACTTTCGGTGCTGTCGGGCAGTTGGAGCTCGCCAATATATATACTGTCGAGGCTTTGCAGCCAGTTGTCAGCCAGCCACCTCGCGAAGGTCAACACCTTCTTCCAGCAGCACGTTCTTCCAGCAGCACGTTCAGATCAGATCATCTTGTCACGACCAATGTCTTTGTATCTGCATGTTCACATCGACACGAACATGCCGACTCGTTCAGACGGACACGTTTTCTCTTAGCGCGATTAGCATGCTCCGTCCAGTTTCTCCTTCTATGTCATCGATTGCCGAAAAGTGTCAATGTCCATCTCAAACAAACGCACTGGTATTCGTACCACTTGCACAAACTGTCATCGCAAGGGCCCTCCTTGCATTCATTGTCAAGCCACCAAACATAGACGACGTCCACACACAACTCAGCAGCCACCTGGTTTGGTCACCACGTCGACGTTGATGTCGACGGACACAACGCAGTCATCGACGTCGGTCACCAACATTGATCACCAGCCAGAGATACACACGCCTCCACCGTTCTACTTATGGACCTTCACCATTCTACTTATGGTTGTCTTCTAGCAGGTACCACCGATTCATGAGCGACGGAACCGGACTACCACCCTCCGCGACCTTCTTCGACGACCATCAACCGTCCATCATGTCGACAAAACTACAGTGGAATTCAAACCTCGCTCGAAGTTCTATTCCACGCTCGTGACTGGAAACGCGATCGAGACGCGCCGACTTTTCAACCATCTACTCGATTTGCAATCAATCAACTCAATCAATTGAAGCAGTCACCATGACGCTACGTGACGAGTCACTCGTCGCAACACCAGCCCACTCGCTAGCTCGTACATCGATCGCACTCACAAACCAACTGGCACTACCACACCAGCACCTAGCGAGCAAGTACTCGACCAACCGACCAAATCGACCATGAAGTGCACTGCTCTCGCCGTCACCGCGCTAGTTGCTGTAGCAAGCGTCGCCTCAGCTACTGACTACCAGCCGGCGCTCCGAGCCCTTGCTGCATCGGAACCAGCTACACCCAGCACTGACACGATGGCAGCGGGTCCTACCGAGCGACATTCGCATCCTGTTGAGGCTGCTGCTGATGTAGCTGCGGAAAACGAGCCTACTGCCGTCATCGGTGCGGAAGGCAAGAAGTCCAAGGAGTGGTGGGGAGGCTTGGGATGGGGACGTCCCTGGGGTGGCTACGGTGGATGGGGAGGCTGCGGTGGCGGATGGGGATGGTAGACCTCACACATGCTGGACATCGCGCCGACTGACATGCTGCAGCGCATGCAGACGGGCTCACGAACGAGACGACACGGAAGCCGAGCAAGAAGAAAAATCTGCGTGCACCGCCGGACTCGCTCTTGTTTGTGAGGCTGTTTGTCGCTACTTTTCGTCATCACTTGGCTCAGCATGTCAACCTGTCGACGGAAGAATCGACCACCTGTACTTTCGGTGCTGTCGGGCAGTTGGAGCTCGCCAATATATATACTGTCGAGGCTTTGCAGCCAGTTGTCAGCCAGCCACCTCGCAAAGGTCAACACCTTCTTCCAGCAGCACGTTCTTCCAGCAGCACGTTCAGATCAGATCATCTTGTCACGACCAATGTCTTTGTATCTGCATGTTCACATCGACACGAACATGCCGACTCGTTCAGACGGACACGTTTTCTCTTAGCGCGATTAGCATGCTCCGTCCAGTTTCTCCTTCTATGTCATCGATTGCCGAAAAGTGTCAATGTCCATCTCAAACAAACGCACTGGTATTCGTACCACTTGCACAAACTGTCATCGCAAGGGCCCTCCTTGCATTCATTGTCAAGCCACCAAACATAGACGACGTCCACACACAACTCAGCAGCCACCTGGTTTGGTCACCACGTCGACGTTGATGTCGACGGACACAACGCAGTCATCGACGTCGGTCACCAACATTGATCACCAGCCAGAGATACACACGCCTCCACCGTTCTACTTATGGACCTTCACCATTCTACTTATGGTTGTCTTCTAGCAGGTACCACCGATTCATGAGCGACGGAACCGGACTACCACCCTCCGCGACCTTCTTCGACGACCATCAACCGTCCATCATGTCGACAAAACTACAGTGGAATTCAAACCTCGCTCGAAGTTCTATTCCACGCTCGTGACTGGAAACGCGATCGAGACGCGCCGACTTTTCAACCATCTACTCGATTTGCAATCAATCAACTCAATCAATTGAAGCAGTCACCATGACGCTACGTGACGAGTCACTCGTCGCAACACCAGCCCACTCGCTAGCTCGTACATCGATCGCACTCACAAACCAACTGGCACTACCACACCAACACCTAGCGAGCAAGTACTCGACCAACCGACCAAATCGACCATGAAGTGCACTGCTCTCGCCGTCACCGCGCTAGTTGCTGTAGCAAGCGTCGCCTCAGCTACTGACTACCAGCCGGCGCTCCGAGCCCTTGCTGCATCGGAACCAGCTACACCCAGCACTGACACGATGGCAGCGGGTCCTACCGAGCGACATTCGCATCCTGTTGAGGCTGCTGCTGATGTAGCTGCGGAAAACGAGCCTACTGCCGTCATTGGTGCGGAAGGCAAGGTGTCCAAGGAGTGGTGGGGAGGCTTGGGATGGGGACGTCCCTGGGGTGGCTTCGGAGGATGGGGTGGCTACGGTGGATGGGGAGGCTACGGTGGCGGATGGGGATGGTAGACCTCACACATGCTGGACATCGCGCCGACTGACATGCTGCAGCGCATGCAGACGGGCTCACGAACGAGACGACACGGAAGCCGAGCAAGAAGAAAAATCTGCGTGCACCGCCGGACTCGCTCTTGTTTGTGAGGCTGTTTGTCGCTACTTTTCGTCATCACTTGGCTCAGCATGTCAACCTGTCGACGGAAGAATCGACCACCTGTACTTTCGGTGCTGTCGGGCAGTTGGAGCTCGCCAATATATATACTATCGAGGCTTTGCAGCCAGTTGTCAGCCAGCCACCTCGCAAAGGTCAACACCTTCTTCCAGCAGCACGTTCTTCCAGCAGCACGTTCAGATCAGATCATCTTGTCACGACCAATGTCTTTGTATCTGCATGTTCACAACGACACGAACATGCCGACTCGTTCAGACGGACACGTTTTCTCTTAGCGCGATTAGCATGCTCCGTCCAGTTTCTCCTTCTATGTCATCGATTGCCGAAAAGTATCAATGTCCATCTCAAACAAACGCACTGGTATTCGTACCACTTGCACAAACTGTCATCGCAAGGGCCCTCCTTGCATTCATTGTCAAGCCACCAAACATAGACGACGTCCACACACAACTCAGCAGCCACCTGGTTTGGTCACCACGTCGACGTTGATGTCGACGGACACAACGCAGTCATCGACGTCGGTCACCAACATTGATCACCAGCCAGAGATACACACGCCTCCACCGTTCTACTTATGGACCTTCACCATTCTACTTATGGTTGTCTTCTAGCAGGTACCACCGATTCATGAGCGACGGAACCGGACTACCACCCTCCGCGACCTTCTTCGACGACCATCAACCGTCCATCATGTCGACAAAACTACAGTGGAATTCAAACCTCGCTCGAAGTTCTATTCCACGCTCGTGACTGGAAACGCGATCGAGACGCGCCGACTTTTCAACCATCTACTCGATTTGCAATCAATCAACTCAATCAATTGAAGCAGTCACCATGACGCTACGTGACGAGTCACTCGTCGCAACACCAGCCCACTCGCTAGCTCGTACATCGATCGCACTCACAAACCAACTGGCACTACCACACCAACACCTAGCGAGCAAGTACTCGACCAACCGACCAAATCGACCATGAAGTGCACTGCTCTCGCCGTCACCGCGCTAGTTGCTGTAGCAAGCGTCGCCTCAGCTACTGACTACCAGCCGGCGCTCCGAGCCCTTGCTGCATCGGAACCAGCTACACCCAGCACTGACACGATGGCAGCGGGTCCTACCGAGCGACATTCGCATCCTGTTGAGGCTGCTGCTGATGTAGCTGCAGAAAACGAGCCTACTGCCGTCATCGGTGCGGAAGGCAAGGTGTCCAAGGAGTGGTGGGGAGGCTTGGGATGGGGACGTCCCTGGGGTGGCTTCGGGGGATGGGGAGGCTGCGGTGGCGGATGGGGATGGTAGACCTCACACATGCTGGACATCGCGCCGACTGACATGCTGCAGTGCATCCAGACGGGCTCACGAACGAGACAACACGGAAGCCGAGCAAGAAGAAAAATCTGCGTGCACCGCCGGACTCGCTCTTGTTTGTGAGGCTGTTTGTCGCTACTTTTCGTCATCACTTGGCTCAGCATGTCAACCTGTCGACGGAAGAATCGACCACCTGTACTTTCGGTGCTGTCGGGCAGTTGGAGCTCGCCAATATATATACTATCGAGGCTTTGCAGCCAGTTGTCAGCCAGCCACCTCGCAAAGGTCAACACCTTCTTCCAGCAGCACGTTCTTCCAGCAGCACGTTCAGATCAGATCATCTTGTCACGACCAATGTCTTTGTATCTGCATGTTCACAACGACACGAACATGCCGACTCGTTCAGACGGACACGTTTTCTCTTAGCGCGATTAGCATGCTCCGTCCAGTTTCTCCTTCTATGTCATCGATTGCCGAAAAGTATCAATGTCCATCTCAAACAAACGCACTGGTATTCGTACCACTTGCACAAACTGTCATCGCAAGGGCCCTCCTTGCATTCATTGTCAAGCCACCAAACATAGACGACGTCCACACACAACTCAGCAGCCACCTGGTTTGGTCACCACGTCGACGTTGATGTCGACGGACACAACGCAGTCATCGACGTCGGTCACCAACATTGATCACCAGCCAGAGATACACACGCCTCCACCGTTCTACTTATGGACCTTCACCATTCTACTTATGGTTGTCTTCTAGCAGGTACCACCGATTCATGAGCGACGGAACCGGACTACCACCCTCCGCGACCTTCTTCGACGACCATCAACCGTCCATCATGTCGACAAAACTACAGTGGAATTCAAACCTCGCTCGAAGTTCTATTCCACGCTCGTGACTGGAAACGCGATCGAGACGCGCCGACTTTTCAACCATCTACTCGATTTACAATCAATCAACTCAATCAATTGAAGCAGTCACCATGACGCTACGTGACGAGTCACTCGTCGCAACACCAGCCCACTCGCTAGCTCGTACATCGATCGCACTCACAAACCAACTGGCACTACCACACCAACACCTAGCGAGCAAGTACTCGACCAACCGACCAAATCGACCATGAAGTGCACTGCTCTCGCCGTCACCGCGCTAGTTGCTGTAGCAAGCGTCGCCTCAGCTACTGACTACCAGCCGGCGCTCCGAGCCCTTGCTGCATCGGAACCAGCTACACCCAGCACTGACACGATGGCAGCGGGTCCTACCGAGCGACATTCGCATCCTGTTGAGGCTGCTGCTGATGTAGCTGCGGAAAAAGAGCCTACTGCCGTCATTGGTGCGGAAGGCAAGGTGTCCAAGGAGTGGTGGGGAGGCTTGGGATGGGGACGTCCCTGGGGTGGCTTCGGAGGATGGGGTGGCTACGGTGGATGGGGAGGCTACGGTGGCGGATGGGGATGGTAGACCTCACACATGCTGGACATCGCGCCGACTGACATGCTGCAGCGCATGCAGACGGGCTCACGAACGAGACGACACGGAAGCCGAGCAAGAAGAAAAATCCGCGTGCACCACCGGACTCGCTCTTGTTTGTGAGGCTGTTTGTCGCTACTTTCGTCATCACTTGGCTCAGCATGTCAACCTGTCGACGGAAGAATCGACCACCTGTACTTTCGGTGCTGTCGGGCAGTTGGAGCTCGCCAATATATATACTATCGAGGCTTTGCAGCCAGTTGTCAGCCAGCCACCTCGCAAAGGTCAACACGTTCTTCCAGCAGCACGTTCTTCCAGCAGCACGTTCAGATCAGATCATCTTGTCACGACCAATGTCTTTGTATCTGCATGTTCACAACGACACGAACATGCCGACTCGTTCAGACGGACACGTTTTCTCTTAGCGCGATTAGCATGCTCCGTCCAGTTTCTCCTTCTATGTCATCGATTGCCGAAAAGTATCAATGTCCATCTCAAACAAACGCACTGGTATTCGTACCACTTGCACAAACTGTCATCGCAAGGGCCCTCCTTGCATTCATTGTCAAGCCACCAAACATAGACGACGTCCACACACAACTCAGCAGCCACCTGGTTTGGTCACCACGTCGACGTTGATGTCGACGGACACAACGCAGTCATCGACGTCGGTCACCAACATGGATCACCAGCCAGAGATACACACGCCTCCACCGTTCTACTTATGGACCTTCACCATTCTACTTATGGTTGTCTTCTAGCAGGTACCACCGATTCATGAGCGACGGAACCGGACTACCACCCTCCGCGACCTTCTTCGACGACCATCAACCGTCCATCATGTCGACAAAACTACAGTGGAATTCAAACCTCGCTCGAAGTTCTATTCCACGCTCGTGACTGGAAACGCGATCGAGACGCGCCGACTTTTCAACCATCTACTCGATTTGCAATCAATCAACTCAATCAATTGAAGCAGTCACCATGACGCTACGTGACGAGTCACTCGTCGCAACACCAGCCCACTCGCTAGCTCGTACATCGATCGCACTCACAAACCAACTGGCACTACCACACCAGCACCTAGCGAGCAAGTACTCGACCAACCGACCAAATCGACCATGAAGTGCACTGCTCTCGCCGTCACCGCGCTAGTTGCTGTAGCAAGCGTCGCCTCAGCTACTGAAAACCAGCCGGCGCTCCGAGCCCTTGCTGCATCGGAACCAGCTACACCCAGCACTGACACGATGGCAGCGGGTCCTACCGAGCGACATTCGCATCCTGTTGAGGCTGCTGCTGCTGATGTAGCTGCAGAAAACGAGCCTACTGCCGTCATCGGTGCGGAAGGCAAGAAGTCCAAGGAGTGGTGGGGAGGCTTGGGATGGGGACGTCCCTGGGGTGGCTTCGGGGGATAGGGTGGCTACGGTGGATGGGGAGGCTACGGTGGCGGATGGGGATGGTAGACCTCACACATGCTGGACATCGCGCCGACTGACACGCTGCAGCGCATGCAGACGGGCTCACGAACGAGACGACGCGGAAGCCGAGCAAGAAGAAAATCTGCGTGCACTGCCGGACTCGCTCTTGTTTGTGAGGCTGTTTGTCGCTACTTTTCGTCATCACTTGGCTCAGCATGTCAACCTGTCGACGGAAGAATCGACCATCTGTACTTTCGGTGCTGTCGGGCAGTTGGAGCTCGCCAATATATATACTGTCGAGGCTTTGCAGCCAGTTGTCAGCCAGCCACCTCGCGAAGGTCAACACGTTCTTCCAGCAGCACGTTCAGATCAGATCATCTTGTCACGACCAATGTCTTTGTATCTGCATGTTCACATCGACACGAACATGCCGACTCGTTCAGACGGACACGTTTTCTCTTAGCGCGGTTAGCATGCTCCGTCCAGTCTCTCCTTCTATGTCATCGATTGCCGAAAAGTGTCAATGTCCATCTCAAACAAACGCACTGGTAATCGTACCACTTGCACAAACTGTCATCGCAAGGGCCCTCCTTGCATTCATTGTCAAGCCACCAAACATAGACGACGTCCACACAGAACTCAGCAGCCACCTGGTTTGGTCACCACGTCGACGTTGATGTCGACGGACACAACGCAGTCATCGACGTCGGTCACCAACATGGATCACCAGCCAGAGATACACATTCGTTAATGGGGTTGCACGTTGTTATTGAACCGGTTTTATTGTGTGTCCACACTAAGTAAAGATTGGTGGGTCTGAGTGGTTTAGTCTTGGTACCACGTACTTTCGGTAATACCGTACCTTATCGGGTAGGGATGAGGGATAATTGAAGTCCTACGACAGAAGTCTTATGACTTCTATCCTAGGATCATAATGTAAACGTCTTATGATTTCTGTCATAGGATCGCAATGTAGAAGTCAATCAGACAAGGCTTTGGAGCTTTATTACCGTAGTTCAAGAATTAATAAAGTTCAGTTCCCCTTTTGAATCGTTGGACACTAGTGGCGAGTCAAGGCGTAGTGTGTCGTAAGGGTGTTAGCCTTGTAACGGCGCTTACTCTTGTTTAACGAGTAGTCTCTAGTTAGTGTGTGATTCTATGAATCGTAACCCCTTTGGAACTGGGATTGTTAAGCTTGTACGGTTGAGCGACTGTACGTCGTTGTTAGTTTGTATAACAAAGAGACTATTTGAGTCGAAGACTTCCTCTGTCAAGGAGCGCTAAGTATCTCCGCTACACTTTGTAGCACTTGTAGTCAATCTACACCTGAGTCTTCACGGACTGAAATCTCTGCGAGGATGGAAACGGCCATGAACCTCTCTGAGGCCCAGCAGGTCACGCTTGAGAAGCTCAAGGCGTTGATCGAGCACGAACAAGTGGCTATTATAGTGTCGCAAGGTCTGGAAGCACTTCGTGCACGTCTCGAGGCCTTCTCGAACTTTGATTCCACGTTGATCGGACAGGTGCATGACCATGTGGCATCTGCCATGCCCACTCGGTATGTCCCAACGGACACTGAGTCGAGAACTCGTCCTCTAGTCTTAAGTGTCAAGACTTTTGAGGGGAAAAGGGGGGAAATCTTTTTTTGTGGGTTCGGGAGATGGAGGTTACCATCAGCTCGGCCTTGCTGCGGTCAGAGCAGCAAAAGGTGGGCCTGGCCTTATCGAAGTTAGGTGGGCGATCCAGGGAGTGGGCCGTCACTTCCGGTACCTCGACAGGCGAGGCTTTTCCCATCCGGAACATGCTGAAACAGCAGCTATCTTGAGTGTTTGCACCGCCTAATCAGGGCATATCCCGTGCGATCACGAGTCCTGTCAACCCGCCAGAAAAAAAGGACTTATTCGATTATGTCCAGGAGTTTTGAAGTCTCATTGCTGCTATGCAGCTTGACCCTTTACCTGAGACGGTTTTGGTAGCCATTTTCATGGAGGGTCTTTGCACTGGCGTTGCCAGAACAGAAGTGTTACGTGCACAACCATTGACATTTGAGGGTGCAGTGGACATAGCGTTGAACGCAGACTTCAACTTATAGCTGCCCTACATGGGACTCATGGGCTCCAATCGAACTCGTCGAGCAATGCTCATCTCATTTATAGGGCAGAACCCATGGATCTTAGTCTCTCTGAGAGAGACGAAGAAGCTTAGCTCTATGACGTCGGGCAGCGTTCGAAAATCCGTAGATGTTTTCCGTGCGGAAGCATCAAACACCTTCGCCCTAAATTGTCATTTCAGAAGGACCAGACAAGCTCGTTCGAGCCGACCTTCCGTCGCTAACCAACGAGTTGGTAAGGCGCGGAAAACGTCGAGTCTCAGTAGGCGCGGGGCGCCCTGATGGTGAAAACCTAGGCTCTGTTGTACATCTGGGAGGTGATAGAGAACAGGGCTTAGCCCCAAGTGGCTTTGAAGCAATGTCACGAAACATGAGTACAAGCCAGGCTTGTTAGTTACAAAATCATGGTAAAGGGCTTTGACAAGCTATGGTCGATATTGATCGACTCCGGGCGTCGAGAAATTATGTCCGACGTTGTTCCCTGGAAGAAAGTCAGCAGTATGCTGAGGCGCTGAAAGCACGAAATAATGAGACTATCACTGTTTTGCATGGCGACAGATGCATTAGTCACTATGGCTAAAGTTCATGTGAGCGCTTAGGCGTTAAGTTTTCGGACTTTGACAGTATCGAACGCTGTTTAGTCCTTGACTTGGATGAGAGGTATGTCCTTGATATGGCTTGGCTAGAACGCCATGAGCCATGGAGTGACTGGAGGTCAAAGACCTTAGGCGCAACGCGCACTGTTCCTAGTGAAGCTTTGGAGAGTCATGAGCCCACCTCTGCTAGAAAACAGAAGCGATATTGGTGCGAGCCACGGACTGAGACAGTCAGTGTACTGGACATCGGTATGGCTGAACTCGTTGAGCTGGAAGATGTCAAAAACGTTAGTTGCGAGCCAAGCTCGTTGAATGGGAAACGGCACGTAACCCATCGATCAATAATCGTTGTGATTACGAATCAACGAATGCTGAACGCATTGTTGGTCTAGAGCCAAGTCATCATGGATTGAACCCACCTGATGAGCGTGGAGTAGCACGTGCATACCCACTGAGTGATGTTAGCCGTGATTGTGACAAACTAAATGTCATTCAAGACTTTGTTGGTGAAACGCCATTTCGTCAAGGGCGATACCCATTTGATGAGCGAGGACTGGCACTTAAATACCAACTGGGTGATGATATCACTGGAAGTGACTCATCACCGAATGTCGGCAATGACGTCAGATCGGATATAGATCAAGTTGAGGTTGACGTAGTTCGCCACCTTGGGGCGGTATAGTCCCGGATGTCGGTAATGACATCGTCTCCGATAGTGAGCAACTTAAGGCTGATGGGCATGTTAATCTCGGGAACATTGCTGTCCCGGGTGTCGGTAATGACACCGACTCTTGTACAGAGCAAGTTAAGGATGATGATGATATCAACCTTGGGAACGAGAAAGTTCCAGTCTCTTTAAGGCGTTCAGTCTCGTTACAGAGACGACAGCGACGCCAGATTGCTTCTATACAACGCAAGGCGTCTGTTACGTCACTGAGTCATACTAGCGAGCAGCTATATACACTCGTTTATGGTGTGACCGGCCACGTAGATGGGTCAGTGAGTCTTGAGACCCTACCCTCACTGAATTCTCTGTCAGAGCTAGACGAAATGTCTGTCGATGAGCTCGGCCTGATCTTAAAGTCAGGTGACTTATCTGAAGTGGTGGTCATCAGATCCGATTGTAAGTTGAACTCGTCGTCACTCCTTGATGAAGCTGTATTGGAAGACACAAAGGCGGCACTGAGTGCTCGAACGTCACTGAGTCATACTAGCGAGCAGCTATATACACTCGTTTATGGTGTGACCGGCCACGTAGATGGGTCAGTGAGTCTTGAGACCCTACCCTCACTGAATTCTCTGTTAGAGCTAGAAGAAATGTCTGTCGATGAGCTCGGCCTGATCTTAAAGTCAGGTGACTTATCTGAAGTGGTGGTTATCAGATCCGATTGTAAGTTGAACTCGTCGTCACTCCTTGATGAAGCTGTATTGGAAGACACAAAGGCGGCACTGAGTCATCAATCTTGAAAGATCCCCAAGACTCTTTTATCCTTTGGTTAAGGAGTTTCAGGATTCGGTGTGTCACGATCCACCTTCCACTCTTCCTTCTGATCAAGGCGTACATCACGAAATGGACCTGGTTCCTGAAAACAAATACTTTATGACACGGCAATGGCCCCCACCGAAGGAGCAGTGTGACGTCATTGACGACTTCTATCGTGCAAAGCACGCGGTCTGGAATGATGCTTGAGAGCAAGTCTCCACACTCGACACCGACATTTTGTGTCAGAAAGCCAGAATGGCAAGTGGCGCATTGTGCGTGCTTACAATAAGCTCAATACAGCCACGATACCGGCACAGACGCCTATTCCTAGAAATGATGTTCTTTAGAACGCTATGGCAGGTTGTAACATGTTCAGCGCACTTGACTTGGTCGATGAGTGCTGTCAATTGCTCATGCGAGCGAGTGATATTCCGCTCACAGCGGTTGATACTCCAAGCGGTATGCTTTGGGGGTGGCTTGTTATGTCTCATGGGATGTCTAATGCCCCGGCTACAGTTTATCGTCTTGTGACACAATTGTTCCGACCTCACCGAGTATACGCACAAAGCTGTTTCGATGACATCTTTGTCCATAGCCGTGCAGACCATGGTAGTACAGATGTGGACAATCACATTGACCATTTACGAGTAATGCTCGAGTGCATGCGTACAAACACGCCGTATGCAAATGCATCGAAATGCATTTTTGGTGCAGAATAAATTTCATTTTTCGGGTGCTTCGTTGGAAAGAGTGGCCTTCGAGCGGACCCCGCTAAGGTAAAGTGAACTGTAGACTGGTCGGTTCCGTCGAACTAAATGGACTCGCGTAAATGAATCAGCCTTGTTAATTACTTGCACAAGTACAGTGCAAACTACGCTGACATGACAAGGCCATTAACCAACCTCATCAAGAAGGATGCAGTTTGGTACTGGAACGCAGCTCACGCTCAAGCTTTTGAAGCTATAAAGGACAGTCTCCTTCATGCTCCAATTATGGCTTTGCCTGACCCTGGGCGGCCTTTCAGTGTCGTCTGTGACCCGTATGATTTTGCTATTGGTTTTGCAGAAGAGCTACCAAGTTCATGACAAAGCGCTACAGAAAAGCTACCAAGTTCATGACAAAGAGTTACTTGCAATGAAGTATTATCTTGTTAAGTCCTGTTAAGTCCCCGTCGCCTTGGATCATCCTCTCGTGATCTTCACAGATCATGCGTCTTTACGCACTGCGAAAAAGTCGCCTCACCCCTCACATCGTATGGACCGTTGGCTTTCGTTCTTTGCTGAACACAACTTCGAGGTTAAGTGTAATCCGGGCAAGAAAAATGCTTTGGCTGATGCGTTGTCACGCAGACCTGATTGAGAGCTTGATCATGTTAAGATTCTGTCGTCATCCATTGTGTGTTTAATTTTTTCGGCATATGCACGTGGTGAGCAATGTGTAGCATTGCTACATGCTCTTGGAAGCGAGTAGTTTAAAGACTCGGACGTCAAATTGTTGGCACGTTTACGTGCGATCCTACATCGGTATGCCATCTATGGTGGGTTGTTATGCTATTGCACGGGTGTTGAGGATGTGCCTCGCATCCTTGCTCCTCGTGATGAGGAAATGAAGTATCACATCCTCTTGATGCATATGAAACTGCTTTGAGCGGTCATCTCGGTCGTG